GTGGGGTAAAGATTGCACGTCGGCCCTGAAGAAGCTAAAGCGGGCCTTGATAGAGTATCCAGTCCTCAAGGTAGCCGATCCGTCCTTGCCTTTTGTAGTCACCATTGACGCAAGTCAGTACGGTATAGGTGTTGTTGTACAACAAGATGATGGCAATGGGTATAGACCCGTCAAGTTCATGTCTACTAGGATGCCTTCAGAGAAGGTAGCGAAATCAACCTATGAGAGGGAACTCTACGCTCTCAGGCAAGCACTAGATCACTGGAAACACTACTTGCTTGGGAGGCACTTCAAAGTGTATTCAGACCACGAGACGTTGAGGTTGTTAAAGACGCAGGCCAAGATGACACCTAAGCTTACTAGGTGGGCCGTAGAGATAGGCCAGTTCGACTTTGAGCTCAAGCTAGTATAATGTAGATGCGGATGCTCTAAGTAGGAAAGCTGATTACTTTGGAGCAATAGTTCACTACTTAGATATAGGGAGAGACCTGCAACAGAAAGTCAAGGAAGCTTACGCGCAGGACCCTATCTATAGTGATCTTCTCAAAAGAGTTGTCTCCAGAGACTGAACCACCGCACTACAGGTGGGTTGCTATTTGAGAAGACTAGTGTATTCGATTGACTATGCGTTCCCAACAGTGAAGAGATCCGTAGTTTTATCTTAGGGGAATGCCACGACACAGAGGGACACTTTGGTTGGCCAAAGGCATTAGCCAACCTCATTCACGCATATTCATGGTCTGGCATGAAGGCCGACTGCATAGGGTATGTACACAGTTGTAAGGTATGCCGGCAAAATAAGACCACTACGCGAGCCCCTCTTGGTCTTCTTAGACCTTTGCCTATTCCCGCAGGACCCGGATATTCTGTGTCCATTGACTTTATGGACGCTGGCGTCAGGAGAAGGAACGGCAAGAGCCAAGTCATGGTTATAGTTGATAGATTCAGCAAGTATGCAGTTTTTGTTCGTTTGCCCGCGGAGGCACGTAGATAAGTTCTTTGATCATTGGGTCAGTGAGCATGGTCTACCGCTGTCGATAGTTAGTGACAGAGATACAAGGTTCACTAGTCAGAACGGGCAGGAGTTGATGAGAGTCTATGGCTAAGTTGTTGATGTCATCTGGCCGTCATCCAGAGACTAACGGTCAGACTGAACAGATGAACAAGATCATCCAGCAAGTTCTCAGAATGTATATTAGACCCGATCAAGTTAACTGGGATGAGATGCTTCCCAAGGTAGCCAGCGCATACAACAATAGCGTGCATTTAGCGACCTGTCACACTCCCAATGAGTTGCATAAGTCCTTTAGACCACGTAGGCCATTTGAAGCACTGAACCGGGATCAGATTCAGAGGCTACCGCCCGGTACTAGGGAGTTTGCACTACAGCATGAGAGAGAGATTGCTACCGTAACAGAAAACCTCAGGAAGGCCCAGCACAAGATGATAGAACAGGCTAACAAGCACCGTCGCCCGTCACAGTTCCAAGTAGGCGACTTAGTCTGGGTCAAGGAGTTTGCTCCTGAAGAAACATCTCGCAGAAGTTACTGCCTGCATACCGAGGACCGTGGCCAGTTTTAGAAGTGCAGGGCGGAGAGGATTGACCGTCCTACACAGTCGAGATTCCAGCACACCTCCACACCTACCCAGTTTTTCATGCGTCGAAGTTGTTGCCCTGTACCACGGAGATCCATGATCCCTCCGGACATGGGTGGAAGGTACGACATTGACCGCATAGTAGGTGAAGATGTGGTCTGAAACAGGAGGTAGAGGTCGTCCACAGAAACAGTGTAAAGTCAGATTCTCCTTTCAGGAACCAGAGGACGGCCACTGGTTCACACGAACAGAACTTCTAGAGACCGCTCCTGATGTAGTTCGAGCCTCTGAGAGAGAGATGAAAGGTAAAGGTCCTCCTTTGGACTGAAGTATTCTCGGAGTACCTCGAATTTAGGCCGGCTGGAGTGAAACGGTTTTCACCTTTGCAGTAACAGCTGCAGATCCCAGGGCTCGATCCCTAGACCTTACCTTGCCTGGGTACAGTATCTAGTCGACCCCTGTGTGTTTTGAACCCGTGACCTGTGTTTTGGTAACTGACTGTTGTCTGTCATAGGTCTGTGTAGCTGTCGGGTCTTGAACCGCAGGTCTGTCGAGTAGGGGTCATAGCTGTGTAGAGGTCATAGCCGTTTCCACTCTGAAAGGTCAAGGTCGTAGCTACTACAGTCCAGAAAAGTCAAGGTCGTAGCTGCTACAGCTCTGAAAGGCCAAATCCACGGACTTCCGAAAGGTCCGGAAGTGCCTTTTGAGTGCTGCTCACGTTAGACCAGAGGCAAGTGGGCAAGTGGGTAGTCCAACTTTGTTTAGTCAGCGGTACCCAGTCCCAGTCTCACTTTGTCCAGTCAGCAAGTACCATGTGGGACTGTGTACACCATGGGCCGGTGGAACAGAAGTATAAATCAAGAGGCAGCGTCCAGCCATTCATTCATTCTGCGTGAGCCATGTGGAAGCGCTGCCCAGGCATCTTGTGCGAGGTGGTCTGCAGATGCCCAATGTTGAAGTGGGCTACGAGGGAGATAGAGCAGCCATCGCTGCTAGTGGCCAGGGTAGACGACGGCCATAGCCGCCATAGCCTAGAGTTAGTCTACAGCTTGTGAGTGAGTGAGCTGTGTGTGTGCGTGGGATGTCCAGGGAGATCCAGTGTGGTGTGCGTGTGAACAGTTGAGGTGAATACAGTGTAGGATGGGAGCTGTGTAGGCGCACAGGCGCCAGAGCTAATCTGAAGCGAGTTTGTATCCGAACTGTGTTCTCGACGAATATCTCTGAGTTTTGTGTGGGCACCTGGCGCCAGTTTGGATTGTCATCGGTTTGCATGCATGCTGAAAGAAAAAGAAGGTGATTCTGAATGCAATACTACTGATGGGGGAGTTATAGCGGTGAGAGAAGTCCTGGAAGCCATGGTCACGACAGAAATCGGCTGCAGGCGGCTCTCAATCAAACAAGATGCAAAACCAGAGAACAGATAAGTTCACAGGACGAGAAGAAAGTTTCTCAGAAGCTGGCTGCAACAGGGCAGGTTGGTCACGATTGAAAATGGCTCACTCAGATGGGGAAAGTCGGATACAAGCTGAACATGGGCACCAGCCTTTTCAATCAGGGGACCCAAGGGGGGACGGCCGCCGATCTATAAGGGGGAGGCATAACAGCCGGACTCCGCTCTCTCAAGACTTGCTCCCAAGTCCGTAGTCTCTGTTCGGTGCCTGCCTGCCTAACAGAGGCAACTTAACTGCATCTGAGAGGAAGAGATGAAGAGAATGGCAAGCTGACAGGAAGTCAGTGCTTTGAGGAGTAATCAATGAAAGGCTGGGATCCTTCGGCCTGGACGGAAGGATGCGTCAAGTGTTATTCTTTTATAATATGTGTGATCGGCAGAAATGACCAGGACTGGCGCTTTCCAGAGCGGACAAGGAGCAAGGACCATAAGGACCTGCTTTACTTTAAAAATAAAATAAAAAAGGGAAAAATTCCCTGAACTGCACTTCAAAACTTGGCCCAAACTGATGCGGTGCCTAAAATTCAGACCACAACGAGCTCGCCATGGGCGTATACCACTTTTGTCGAAAAGCTAGAGAATGGTAAGCTGACAGGAAGTCAGTGCTTTGAGGAGTAATTAATGAAAGTCCAGGATCCTTCGGCCTGGACGGAAGGATGCGTCGAGTGTTATTCTTTTATAATATGTGTGATCGGCAGAAATGACCAGGACTGGCGCTTTCCAGAGTGGACAAGGAGCAAGGACCATAAGGACCTGCTTAATTTTTTTGAAAAAAGGGGGGTAAAATAATCAAAATGCCCTGAACTGCACTTCAAAACTTGGCCCAAACTCATGCAGTGCCTAAAATGCAGACCATATAACGGAGCTCGCCATGGTCGTACACTACTTTTGTCGAAAAGCTAAGTCACTGGCAGTTTGACACACATTTGTGAGACAAGATGACAGGAGGGAACCAAACACTGCCTGTTGTCCTCCACGCGTGAGGAATTTCTCAGAGGTAAATGCCCGGTCGTATTCGACCTCCTCGTTATGCATCGATCGATTGCTCTCCGACTGCTTTTGTTTCTCTTGCATATTGTTGCACCACACTGTTTCCTTTCTTTTTGGGTGCTTTAGGGATGCGATCGTCGGAGCTTGTAAGATAATTGGCATAGAAAATGGGACCTGATTGAGAGGAGCTCAATATCTTTGGGTGGGCATTGGTTGGCATCCTTGGGGAGGCTTAGGCATTGCTTCTGTCTGTCTGCCCAGCAGAGAAAGATGGAAATAAGGGAACCTTCCCTTATGGGACATTGTTGGATGCTGTCGAGATGCAAGATGGAGTAAATTGTGGCAAAGTGCGAGGCATCTGACGTCTCAAATCTGGCCTACTTGTCAATGCCCTGTCAGTAGTGATTAATATCCTCTTTCCTCTTCCCTCCGCCCCTGTAGCATGCTGAGGCCGCTACACGGGCCCTGTTCTGGAGCCTGACGGTTGTTCCAGGCCCCCAGGCTGCACACCCATTGCTGGTGCCCCTAAATAATTTGTATGCCTTGGAAACCTCCTCCTACATCTCCCTTCCTCTTGCCTTCAGGGTGTATAAATGCCCTTTCTCCTTTGCTTTCACAGAGGATTATGGATGATTATTGGCCAGACAAACACACTGAAATTTGCTGGCCATTGTGAGGAGATGAAAAAGAGGAGGAAGGCGGTTGTGGTAGCGCAGTAGATGTCGGATGAATGTCAGAACAGAAACTTGTTCATGGGGATGGTTGTTGTGTCGGTTGCCTTGTTTGTTCGTGTCCCTCTTTACCTCAAGTAATGCCTTCAATGCAGAGTGGAGAGTGTTCTTATGGCCAGGTACCGTTCTTAACGACGCTTGATCATCACGAGTAGAACTTATTGGCTGTTCTTTTCATGTTTGTTTGTTTGTTTGTTTGTTTGTTTGTTTTCATCTGCGAATGCCACTTACAGGATGACATTAAGGAACACTTGACTGCAAATGGGGTTCAGTGGGAGGAGACTGGAGACTTGATGGACGTGGCTTCGAAGGTGGATGTCATATACCAGACTCGGATACAGAGGGAGCGGTTCGCTGACCGAGTTGAGGAGTATGATCAGGCAAGGGGAAAGTACATTGTAGATAAGAAGACCATGGAGGTCTTGCCGGAGCGCGGCATTGTCATGCACCCCCTTCCACGATTGGACGAGGTGGGTAGTCTCCCTCCTCACCATTATGTCATCCTCCTGTAGTGCCCCGGTGTGTTGCTTAGAGGCCATAGTTGTAACATGTTTGTCCCACTTGGGGAAGGCTTGGGCTCATCTGTAGCGTAGCTCTCTGTGAGGCAGGCAATATGTCAGCTTCTGCACTACCAACCCATGTCCCCTTCCTCTGAACCTTCCAAATTGTACCGAAAAAGGCACCGCCCCATAAGCATGTTTGTGCAAGGCACTAGGCCTCGACGTGCCCTACTGGGCCCTGTTTTCAACAATGTCGGCCGCCCTAAGTGAAGGCAGGCCCGACCAAGGACAAGAGGCCTATTTTTGGCTGCCACGCAACTGGGGGAAATTCAGGCAGTTGCGCAGCGCCAATTGATTGAGAGCGCCCAGGCCCTGGCTGCCTTTTTTTAAACGTAACTGAGGGAGGCCCTGGGCCAGGTACGCAACATGGGCCGAACGCAGGCTGCGGGCAGTTGAACACGAGTAATCGCTCTAGGCCCTGGGCCTGATTCCCTGGACCGGGGCTCAGCCACTTGGGGCCTACCGGAAGCTTCTGGGAAGGGGCCCAGCGCAGCCAGGCCGCACACAGCGAGGAGGCCACTTCCATATAGGGAAGTGCCTGCCCCCACATTTGGCATTGGGGCACTTGCTACATGCTGCGCAAGCGCCGCTGGGCTACTGGCAGGCAAGCGCCACTCGCTCACGGGCGAGCAAGGGATACACAGGCAGCCATAGCCGAGCTGGCCTGCGAGGTGCTGGATGGGGCGCATGGTGGTCCTTGGGTGCATCTGGCATCTGTGTGGGGGATTGAGGTTGCGAGTGATGCGAAAGACATACCTGGTGCTCGAGGCGAAAGGCATTGGCCGAAATCTGCTCGTACTTCGGGGAGCTGTTGACGTCACCAGCGGCATTGTAGATGGGCTAGATAGGATCTGCCATTTGTAGTCTGGGCACAGAGTGCCAGATAGGAAGTCGACATTGGTTCTTTGTTGATGATGATGAGACTATTCCAACATCGTCGCTTGTGAGCTTTTTCTGTGCTCTTATTTGGTGGAATTCGAGTTGCAATTCTGCTTTTGGTTCGAGGTCACGACTATCTGGTTTCATGTATCAAAGCTGAGGTATGTTGCGCTAATCTGGCGCTCGTCTTCTGCCCATGCGGTACATGCATGCGGTCTGCTGAGTGAACGGCCGTAGCGAGTGTGTAGTGAAGAGGGCGAAGGCAAGCAGGCGACCCAGGTGGAGAGGGGTATCGCCAGGAAGGCTACGAAGTGGTGTTGGGTGTTTCGCAGTGTGATGAGAACTATCTGATGTGCGATTGATGCTGAGGTGGAACGGCGGTGTAATGCTGGTTGTGCCGAAGCAGCGATTGGTCAACACAATCGACATCAGGTCATCTGGTAAGAATATCTGTGGTTGGGGGCTATTTTGAGGTACGTTGCTCTTAACCTTATCTACCCTCTTCGACACTTCTTACCGTGAGGATGTGTTCTGTTTTGAGAGTCCTCTCATGTGAGGAGTCGAGTGCACTCAACGTTGAGAGTCCACATTGTTCACATAGAGCATCTGGAAGGAAAGGGCGGAGCAATCTGATGGGCTTAGACAAGCGCTGGGTCACGGTCACCATGCCAACCCACCGGGAGTAGAGCACGCATGCTTTGCTGCTTTGTCCTTTGTCTGCCTGCTGCGCTGTTAGATGGGTTATGAGGGGCAGGCCAGCCCTACAGGGGAGACGAGTACAGGATGTCCATAAATAAGTACCGGCGGGGTTACCTTCCATTGGCTGTGATCGTCGTCCTGTCTGCGATGTTAAATAATGCCTGCGGACTTCGGGGGCCGTCCTTAAACGCCTCTTGATCAGCCAAACGGTTGGTGTAAGGATCGCTGCACGCGAGGGTAAACATTGTGCAGGGCTGACCAGCTCAGCATAGACTCGGGGCACAGGGGTGGGCCGTGTGCACACCTTTAGACATGCACGCTATCTGGATTGCTCAGGGACGCTGACGTCAAGTGACACTGAAGAAGAATTTGACGGAGGGGTAGATTTCAGGTGATAAGTTCGGGTACAATTGCACACCGCCAACAGCCCATCCTATGATTCTATTTCGTTTTTTATTAGTTATATGTACAACCATTAACATCTGACAGACAGCATAGGTAGAACAGTTTCTGCTCAATTGCTTTCTGATTGGTGGACGAGTCGAAGTATAATAGTTTCATTGGTAGGAATCTGGACTTCCCTGTTGGACCCAACTGTGTATTATCTAACAATGCCACTGATTATTTATTTTTATTATTTTGAATCGGTCTGAACACTAAGCTGCGGTAGGCGAACGAGTGTACCCTAGTGCAGACAGTACTCGGTATTGTAGCATATGAGCGATAGGGAGGATCCTGACCTGGACGATAGGATCTTGCGATCGGCAAGACGCCCTTTGGCCCATGTGGCATTAGGACCCGAGGGTGATAGAATTTTGTTCCTCCAGCTTAGGGAGAGACGGGAGCAGAGGCGGAGAGCTAGAGCCGCAGAGGCAAGCGGAGCGCTAGCAAGCGAAGCCGATACTTCAGCAACCATGGCCACAGCTGCGCAGCAGAGCTCCCAGGCTAGTAGTTCAGGGACTGTAGGGACGACGATTGCACAAACCCTGAGTCAGTCCGCTGGTGTCATGGCAAGCCACCAGCTAGTGTTGACTCCCGAGGAGGTCGCCATACAGAGAGCAAGTGCTCAAGAGGCACAACTACAAAAGGCTTTAGATGAGATACAGGCAAAGAAGGATAAAATGATCAGAAGAAGGTCTAGGATGCAGCGGAGGCAAGCGGACGTTAGAGAGTTAGAGGAGATGGAGCTGAAAAATATGGATGATGCTGTGAGGACCTTGAGGGCAGCCCTGTTAGATGTAGTAAAGATGCAGGACTATAACACGACACTCTTGCAGGACACTCAGCGAAGCTTGGCCATGGTGGTCGGGCGAGTTCAGTCAGCGCCATCACCATCAGGGCCCGGTGCCTGGCCCGTGGTACAGCCTCCTCCTTTTGTCCCACCGGTGATAGGAGTATCCCCATTCCTAGTCTCTCCAACATCGGTACAAGCCGCTTCCCTACTTGGAATGCCTTTGAGAGGCCGGTTTCCAGCAGGTACTAGTGTACAGGTTCCGGTCCAGGCAGTGTTCTCCCAACCTCCGTTGCAGACTGCCGTAACTGGGCAGCCTGCTGTCTCGCAGCCGGCACAGCCGTATGGGCAGCCTGCTGTCTCGCAGCCAGCACAGCCGTATGGGCAGCCTGCTGTCTCGCAGCCGGCACAGCCGTATGGGCACACAGCCCCAACAGCAGCTAGTGCAGCAGCCTACACCCTAGCGTCCACAACTTGGAATGGTGCAGGTATCGTGACAAGGCCAGTGGGTTATGAAGACTGCCATCACCTCGCCTAAAGCAGCTAGTGCAGCAGCCCGCACCCTAGGGTCCACAACTTGGAATGGTGCAGGTATCGTGACAAGGCCAGTGGGTTCTAAAGACTGCCATCACCTCGCCTAAACCCTTCTTAGGGGATCCGAGGGGCGAAGACTTTGACACATGGTTGAGGTCAGTGTCAGTCTACGTAAAGTGCAAGTTGACCTTGCCGCAGGAGGAAGTGCTTGTGGCTGCCTCCTACTTGGAGGGGAGTGTTGCAAGATGGTTAAGCGGGTTAAGTACAACTACAGGGATACGGTCATGACTTCCGCGCTTGGGCAGTTGAGCAGAGATTGGTTGACTTCCTCAAGTTGGTGGAAAAAAAGTGGCATGATCCTAAGGAGGCTCAGAAGGTCACTGACGTGATCCTGACTCTGAGCTCCAAAAAGTTCAGGTCAGTGAGGGATGCCACAAACGCTGTTGAGCGTCTGATCTGTGTTCTTGGAGTGCGCTACAATCCCCAGATCTTACTTACCACTCACCTGAGCAATCTTCCCATAGAACTTAGGAATCAGCTGGCAGGTGAGGCAAATATCACAGTACACAACTTCCCCTCGTTCAGCAAGAAGGCCCTGGACCTAGAGGCAAAGATAGGGCATGGGCACCAACCCACGACGGATGGTGGGAAGAAGGCATTGCCTCCCAACTGAAAGGGAGAGGGCGGCATTATGTTCGTCGATAACGATGGTTCACCATCGAGTTAGATGACGACTTCCAGGAGGGAGTAGGTTCAGAGGCGGGCAGCGCAGAGGCTTCAGGGGGTGGAGCAATCGTTGCCTCAGTCCAGAAAGGTAAGGCGATCGGTAGACGCCAGGGAGGCTCCCGGTCCAGGAGTCAAGTGATCCCAATGCTCCTCCATGGGAGAAAGCGGGTCTCACATAGGACGTGTGGAGAGACCGTTACACCCGGCAGGCTTGTATCTGTTGTGGCCAATATGGCCATAACCAGTTCAAGTGTCGAAATAAGAAGGTGACGAAAAAGATCCCGCCTACAATGGGGCAGGCGCCGACATCCTCCGCTTCCTAGGGTAGCAATGTTGCCAGCAGTTTTGGCACTGCTTCGGGAAACACGTTGGGCCAGTAGGAATGGTAGATGTTCGTGCTAGGGTCGAGATGGTGGACACACCCTCACCATCCTGAAAGATGGCCCAAGCTATTGACTCCGTTGCCGTCCCGCAAACACATTCAGACCAATCGACCCTTTGTTCGATGAATGTGTTAGAGTCCTTAGAGAAGCTAGAGGAGGAGTGATCTAGATCAAACATGCTAGCTTCTTGGACGACCATGGCCAAAATCCCTAAGGGTGAGTTGTTCGTCGGCGAGATAGT